GGCCAAAACAAGGTAGTTAAGGCGCATGACTGAGGGAGCTCGGTGGATTCGCCCGACTGCCTCCCAGCTGCGCCTGAGGCCAGTCCCGGCCTTTTTCTGCGCCTCAGTTTCCCTCTCTGGGGCTAATGACAAGCCCCGCCCGGGATTAACCAGGGTCTGTGAACTGCTTTGGTATGCTGGAAGTGCAACAGGGAGCGCCAGCGAAAATTTACAAATCATATTGGTCCTGAAAATCTGGCTGCCTATTCTTCTTCTCCCTCATGGCGCTGAGTCTCAGGGCCCAGGGCAATCGATTTGGGCGGCAGGCCTAAAAGTTGCAGGGCAGACATGCAGGACCTGAGAGCCAGGGCTCCAGCCTAACCTCGAGTGTCTACACTCCAGTGTTGAGCCCCGCGAGTCAGCTGACCTGGGCTGTGCCGTGGGTCATTGATTGCAGCGTATATGGACCCTGCGAGAAAGTGGCTGGTTCTGATTTAAAAAGTCACTTCAGCCAGATTTCTTTATTTATTTTTTTTAAAGGTAAGAATGTCCCTAAAAACCTAGCTCGCGGGTTCTCAAACTGGGGGTCACGAGGCTATTACAGGGAGGTTGCGAGTTGCCAGGCCCATGCGTGTTTGGGCCTCCGGCTGCCAGCCACATGCGGGGCTGCCAGCCCGAGCCCTTCCGAGCTGGGTGATCGGAGAGCAGCAGCTGCTTGCCAGGCGCCCAGCCCTAAAGGCAGCACCAACCCCCAACAGCAACGCAGAAGAAAGGGTGGCATAGTACGGCGAGAGTGGGGTCTTCACAGCCTGAAATATTTTCAAAGGGAGTCCCAGCAAAAAAAAAATTTTGAGAACCCCTGCCACATCACCCTGTGCCTCAGTTTCCCCAACCGGTAAAACAGGGGCAATGACGCTGAATCTCCTTTGGAACGTGCTCTGAGCTCCACAGATGAAAAGCGCTAGGTCTGAAACGTTAGATAGCCTTGACTTTTCCATGCCACGTAGGCTCATCCCCCGGATGCTTTAGGAAACCTCCCCCAGGAACTGAACTTTGCACATCCGTTGTGGCGGCCATTAAGGCCCCGATTCGGCGACGCACTTCAGCGAGAGTGCTGCCTTTTGCAACTGACCGGGCTTAAGCTTTAAGGACTTTGCCTCCATCGACGGCACTGATTTGAATCTGCCGTTGCCGGAGTCTCTCACCCTGGGAATCTGCTCTCTCTCTCTCCTCTCCAGGCCAGGCTGCAGAGGGGCAGCATTCTCCTGAAGCAGGGCAACACGGAGCAGGCCAAGCAGGACTTTGAAGCTGTGGTGAGTGCCGGGAGAAGGGACCCCTCGTGAGAGGCGTGGGAATGGAACCTCTTGGAGTAGGGGGGTCAGCGACTGGAGCCCAAGGCGGCTCTGCCGGATCTCAGCAATTGTCCTGACTTTGCTGCTTTGCGTTGGATAACATCGCCCTTCCCTGCCGTGGCATCCCCACTCACCCTCCTGTGCGGTCGGTCCGAGCACAGCTGGGAAGATGTCCTCTGCGCTGGGGGTCGCGGGTCCAGCTGGCCGCCTTTCTGTCCCCGAAGGACACTGGCTGGGGGATCCTCCCCGTTTGTCGAAGGGCTCCCTCTAGGCCTCCGCCAATCCTTGTTGGTTTTTTCCCCCCTCTGCTTCCCCCTTCCCGCCCCCGCAGCTGCAGAGCGATCCCAGCCACAAGGAGGCTCAGAGCCAGCTAGCCAGACTCACCGAGCTGGAAGTGTCCATGCAGGAGGCCCGGGCAGCCTATCAGAGGACAGACTACGCGGGAGCCATCCGCATCCTGGAGCGAGCTGTCGAGGTATCTGTCAGGAGAGGGGGTTGTCCCCCTCCGCGGGGATCACGCCGTCTCTGAGAGCAGGGGAGAGCATCTCTCAGTCTCACAGGGACGCTGCCGGCCCGAGCTGTTCAGCCAAGCTGCTGTGACCAGTGGTCCTTCGTAACCTGGTTGGGCTTGTAACGATGCTGGTTCTGGCGGGAGTGCCAATTCAGGGCAAATTGCTTAGCTGGGCAGTTACAGCCCCAGGCTGGGGTTTCTGGGCACACCAAGGCAAAGACAACCAGCCAGCCAGAGAGGACTTTGGTTTTACCCCACTGGCTAACCACAAATCACACAAGCAATTCCCTTAGACACTCCAGTTTCCCAGTATCCCCACCAGTGCCCCTCATTATGGGGACAAATGGTTATGAAAACCAATACCCCAGTAAAAGAAAAAAGGTTCCCTCGGTCCCAAAGGACCAAGCCCCAGACCCAGGTCAATGTACAAATCAGATCTTACCCACAAATCACACTGTGGCCAATCCTTTAGAATCTAAAATCTAAAGGTTCATTCATAAAAGGAAACAAGATAGAGATGAGAGCCAGAATTGGTTACATGGACTCAATGACAGACAGTAATGGCCAAGTTCTTGGTTCAGGCTTGTAGAAGTGATGGAATAAACGGCAGGTTCAAATCCCGTCTCTGGAGAACATCTCCACCTGGGATGGGTCTTTCAGTCCTTGGTTCAGAGCTTCCGTTTGTAGCAAAGGCCCTCCAGAGGTCGGAAGCAGGATTGGAGACCAGATGGGGGAGCTGCAGCAGGTCTTTATAGTCTCTTGCCGTGTGGTCTGTCTTTCTTTGTCCCAAAGACAAGCTGTCCAGCCCATGGCCTGGAAACATCTCAGAGTACCTGTCCATAGGCAGGTCCCTGCCTGCCTGGCTGAGTCCCCAGGCGTGTCTGCCTTCTCTCAATGGGTCAGTCGTATCACTGGTGGTCCTTAATGGGCCGTCCAGCAGGCTAGGCCGAGCTGACACCAACTTGTCTGGGCTGTCCCCCAGAAGCACAGCACAAGTTTGAAATACAGACAGTATAGAGCCAATATTCATAACTTCAACTACAAAAATGATACCTACATATAGACAGCATAATCCTGACCAGCAAGCCATCACCTTGTCTTAGACACCTCATCTGACTCCCTTTATATAAGATTTGGTGCCATTACAGGACCTTGGTTGCAACAATGTTCTCTATGGTCCCAGGTTATGCCAATAATGTCACAGGGCTACACCCCCCCCCCCCCATGCTGCACTCTCAGGGCAGGAAGGCAGGTGCATCATGGACGTTTGTCGTTCAGCAGCCTCCGGTCCCCACACAACCCGCTTCACCTCTGTAGGCCAGGGCTTCCCGGCTGGACTACATCTCCCATGATGCACAGCCATGGACTCCCATGATGCATCCCCTCACGCTCCGTGATATCTGCCCCGGGAGCCTGGTCTGTAGAAGTGAACGGGAACATAAATCACTCAAACTACATCTCCCGTGGTCCATGGCGCTCTTCCCTCTTGGAGAGGGAAGGGGGGGGCATGTTGGGAGTCCCTGGCTGCGGTGCATCATGGGAGATGTGGTCCAGCCAGGAAGCCTGGCCCGGAGCAGAGAATGGGGAGATGAGGCACCCGACTTACAATTCCCCGGGGCAATGCGGCAGCATTTCCAATTGCAGCTCCAGATTCAGTCCCACGTCTGCTTACAGCAGCCTGGGCTGGCTGAGGCCTTGCGCCGGAGCTTGGAGCGGTGGAGGAACACCCGGGCCGATGGTGCAGCAAGGTTAGGGGACGGGGGGGTGGCCGAGGCTAGGAGTATCGGGTGTTGAGCTTGAAAGTACGAATGTGAAACCATAGAGATCTTCGGTTCCCCTGCCGCCGCCTTAAAAAGCCAGAGGGATCTTGAACAAAGGAGCTGGCGGTGGGTCCCCCTGAACCTTGCCTCAGTTTCCCCTCTCTGGTGGAAGCCGGCGCACCATAAAGCCCCCTTTCCTAGGGTGCATTTATCGTTGAAAATGCAGGTCGCCGTCACTCCGGGCGGGGTCCAGCCCCCTCCTCGGGCCAATGCTGGTTCGCACCCGGCACCTCGCCTCACCTTTCTCGTTTGCTTCCTTGGGCGCAGATCTCCCCGTGGGCCCCCGAGGCCAAGGAGCTGCGCGCCGAGTGCTATCTCCTGCTGGGCGACTACGGCAAGGCCATCCTGGACCTGAAACCCACCACCAAGCTCCGCGCCGACAACCGGGCAGCTTTCCTTAAGCTCAGCCAGCTCTACTACGGCCTGGGGGAGCATGAGGAGGCCCTGGCGTGAGTTGGGGGGGCACCAGGCGGTGCTGGCAGGGGTGCGGGATGTCTGGGGGGGTGGACAAGGAACCTCCCCCCACCAGGCCACCTTGAATCCCTGCCCTGGAGGTGCCAGGCTTTGACTCCGAGCCCCGCCCGTGTGCGCTGGGATCTTGGGGGGTGGGGGACCCCCGCATCTCCAAGACAACCCCGCCCCACCTATACCCCTCTCTCCGCTCCCCAGGCAGGTGCGTGAATGTCTCAAGCTGGATCAGGACGACAAGGCGTGCTTTGCCCACTACAAGCAGGTCAAGAAGCTCTCCAAGCAGCTGGAGTCGGCCGAGGAGCACGTCCAAGCGCAGAGGTGACGGCCGTGCCCCCTCGCTCTCTGCCACCCGCTTCCCATAAAGCCGGGGGCCATGAGAGGCTGGGTCCTCCCAGCCGGGTGTGCCGTGGCACTCGTAGGCCTCTAGGGGGCATGCTGGGAGTAGTGGAGGGGCTGAGATGCAGCTACCTCTGGGGTGGGACATGGGGGGCTCTTTATACAGGGATCCCCTGCCCAGCTCTGAGATGCAGCCATCTGTGGAGTGGGGCGCGAGGGCTGGTTAAACCGGAATCCTGGGGGCAGGCGGGTATTCTGGGATCTCTTCCACTGCCCCTTTCCCCTGGAAGCCTCGCCTGGCTCGAGGTCTGGCATGTTTTGGGTGCTCCAGAGTCGTCTGCTGGTGCCAGCCCTGAGTTTGGCCCCTTTTGCCCGTTGGAGCCCCGCCGGCGGGTGACATGTGCCGTTCCTGGGGACAGGTACGAGGAAGCCATCGACAAGTATAAAGCGGCCATGAAGACGGAATCGCAAGTGGAAGTTTACATCATCAGGGCCAAGGCCCGCATCTGTCACTGCCTCTCCAAGGTGAGCCCGGCCTCGCGCCAGCATCCGCCCTGCACGCTGCCAGGAGAGCCGGTAGGAGACACACACAACGGGGTTGGGACGGCCGTACATACGCAGACTCCTCGCCCAGTGCTGGGATGCAGCCACCTCTGGGGTGGGGCGCTGGGGCTGTGTATATACGGATTCCTCGCCCGGTGCTGAGATGCAGCCACCTCTGGGGTGGGGCGCTGGGGCTGCGTACACACAGATTCCTCTTCCCTTGCTGGGATGCAGCCACCTCTGGGGTGGGGCGCAGGGGCTGCGTACACACAGATTCCTCGCCCGGTGCTGAGATGCGGCCACCTCTGGGGTGGGGCGCAGGGGCTGCGTACACACGGATTCCTCGCCCGGTGCTGAGATGCGGCCACCTCTGGGGTGGGGTGCTGGGGCTGCGTACACACGGATTCCTCGCCCGGTGCTGAGATGCGGCCACCTCTGGGGTGGGGTGCTGGGGCTGTGTACACACGGATTCCTCTTCCCTTGCTGGGATGCAGCCACCTCTGGGGTGGGGCGCTGGAGCTGTGTACACACGGATTCCTTGCCCGGTGCTGAGATGCGGCCACCTCTGGGGTGGGGCGCTGGGGCTGTGTACACACGGATTCCTCGCCCGGTGCTGAGATGCGGCCATCTCTGGGGTGGGGCGCAGGGGCTGTGTATACACGGATTCCTCGCCCGGTGCTGAGATGCGGCCACCTCTGGGGTGGGGCGCTGGGGCTGCGTACACACGGATTCCTCGCCCGGTGCTGAGATGCGGCCACCTCTGGGGTGGGGCGCTGGGGCTGTGTACACACGGATTCCTCGCCCGGAGCTGAGATGCGGCCACCTCTGGGGTGGGGCGCAGGGGCTGTGTACACATGGATTCCTCTTCCCTTGCTGGGATGCAGCCACCTCTGGGGTGGGGCGCTGGGGCTGTGTACACACGGATTCCTCGCCCGGTGCTGAGATGCGGCCACCTCTGGGGTGGGGCGCTGGGGCTGTGTACACACGGATTCCTCTTCCCTTGCTGGGATGCAGCCACCTCTGGGGTGGGGCGCTGGGGCTGCGTACACACGGATTCCTCGCCCGGTGCTGGGATGCAGCCACCTCTGGGGTGGGGCGCTGGCGGATTCCTCCCCGGTCTGAGATGCGGCCACCTCTGGGGTGGGGCGCTGGGGCTGCGTACACATGGATTCCTCGCCCGGTGCTGGGATGCAGCCACCTCTGGGGTGGGGCGCTGGGGCTGCGTACACACGGATTCCTCGCCCGGTGCTGAGATGCGGCCACCTCTGGGGTGGGGCGCTGGGGCTGCGTACACACGGATTCCTCGCCCGGTGCTGAGATGGCAGGGGCGGCAGGGACACACACAGAGCAAGGCCCGTCCCCTGCGGCAGGGACACACACACACACACAGAGCGGGGCTCATCCCCTCCAGCAGGGGGCGGCAGGGACACACAGCGCAGGGCCCGTCCCCTCCAGCAGGGGGCAGAGAGAGCCCAGCCCAGAGCCTGCACCCGACACCTGCGTTCCGTGTCAAGGGGCGTGGTGGAGGTCTGTGATTGATTGGATCTAAGCCCCACCCCCTGCTGGCAATCGGGTAGATAAGGACGAGGCCCGCAGCAAATTCTTTTGCATCCTTCCCAAAACCACAGGCTGGCTCCGAGCCGAGCGTCCGGGAGGAAGCAGGGTCTCTGCCGTTGCTCCCGAACACCCCTGTCCCGCGCTCGGTGGGCCTGGCTCTGGATGCTCCTGCCTGGGGTTAGAGCTGGTCCGAAATCGGGGATTATTTTCCTGCTGAAAAATTAGACGTTTTTCCCCCCCTGAGTGTCGGCGGCTGAAATTGTGCTGGTTTTCCGACGGAAAATGCAAAGTATCCTAGGAAAGGAGAGACTCGGCCTGCCAAAATACCCCGCAGTGTTCTCGTGGAGGGTTTCACGGGTTCACAGGTTGTGCCCACACTTGGGCCCCGTGCGGTCCGTGGGGGGGACCCCCTTCAGTGAAACAGCCCTTCTCGGGGCTCCACTCTCTCTCAGGGGTTAAGCAGTATTCTTGCCAGCAAGTTAAGGAAGTATGGGCTGAATGAATGCACTACAAGGTGGGTAGAAAGCTGGCTAGATTGTCGGGCTCAACGGGTAGTGATCAATGGCTCCATGTCTAGATGGCAGCCGGTGTCAAGTGGAGTGCCCCAGGGGTCGGTCCTGGGGCCGGTTTTGTTCAATATCTTCATAAATGATCTGGAGGATGGTGTGGATTGCACCCTCAGCAAATTTGCGGATGATACTAAACTGGGAGGAGTGGTAGATACGCTGGAGGGCAGGGATAGGATACAGAAGGACCTAGACAAATTGGAGGATTGGGCCAAAAGAAATCTGATGAGGTTCAATAAGGATAAGTGCAGGGTCCTGCACTTAGGACGGAAGAACCCAATGCACAGCTACAGACTAGGGACCGAATGGCTCGGCAGCAGTTCTGCGGAAAAGGACCTAGGGGTGACAGTGGACGAGAAGCTGGAGATGAGTCAGCAGTGTGCCCTTGTTGCCAAGAAGGCCAATGGCATTTTGGGATGTATAAGTAGGGGCATAGCGAGCAGATCGAGGGACGTGATCGTTCCCCTCTATTCGACATTGGTGAGGCCTCATCTGGAGTACTGTGTCCAGTTTTGGGCCCCACACCACAAGAAGGATGTGGATAAATTGGAGAGAGTCCAGCGAAGGGCAACAAAAATGATTAGGGGTCTGGAACACATGAGTTATGAGGAGAGGCTGAGGGAACTGGGATTGTTTAGCCTGCAGAAGAGAAGAATGAGGGGGGATTTGATAGCTGCTTTCAACTACCTGAGAGGTGGTTCCAGAGAGGATGGTTCTAGACTATCCTCAGTGGTAGAAGAGGACAGGACAAGGAGTAATTGTCTCAAGTTGCAGTGCGGGAGGTTTAGATTGGATATTAGGAAAAACTTTTTCACTAGGAGGGTGGTGAAACACTGGAATGCGTTACCTAGGGAGGTGGTAGAATCTCCTTCCTTAGAGGTTTTTAAGGTCAGGCTTGACAAAGCCCTGGCTGGGATGATTTAACTGGGAATTGGTCCTGCTTCGAGCAGGGGGTTGGACTAGATGACCTTCTGGGGTCCCTTCCAACCCTGATATTCTATGATTCTATGATTCTAAGCCCCTCCGCCTCCTGGAGCCGCACCTCTCCGAGCCTCAGCACGCCTGTTTCTCGCCGTGGGCCCCCCCTCTTCTGTCCTCTGGCCCCCTCTGGCTGGAACCGGCTGGTCAGGTCACTGGGGCCCTCTCTCCGCAGCCCATTGTCCTCCCATGGGCCAGAACCGGCTGCGACTCCCGAGCTGGGCCTCCCAGTCACCAGTCGCTGGGGTCTCCATTCTCCAGGGTCCCAAGTTCCCTCGCCGGTCCTGTGTCCCAACAAACTCCCTCTCCCATCCCCTCGGTAAACCAGCAACACCCAGGGAAACTGAGTCCCACCCACTCGGCATGCAAACCGTAGGAAAAACAAGGAAACTCCCCAGTTCGTCACAGAGGGGGAAAGTTTTGCTGGCCAATGATCCAGGAGCCCTACTTGTGGTTGACGGGCTGGACTGGGAATCAGAACTCCTGGGTTCGATTTCTGGTGCTGCCGCAGACTCGCTGCGTGACGGAGCGGGAGTCGCCGAAGGCAACGCGGTCGAAAGCTGCTGTGTGATTGACCCACCCCAAGGGGACTGAATACGAACTCGGAATCAGGGGTAGCCCTGTTAGCCTGTAGCCACAGAAACAAGGTGCCACCGGACTCCTCGTCTTTTTGAACACAAACTCGTCACTTTTGAAAACGGTGCCTTGAATTTGCGTGCCTCAGTTTCCCTCGGTGAAATGGGGAGAAATGACCCTTCCCTGCATTACAGCGGGGCCGGGGAGGGTGGACCTCCAAATGCATGCAAGGAGCTGGCCCAGCCCAGCTCTCTAGGGACCGCGAGTGCACTAGTGGGCTTGGGCGGGAGGGAAGGCACGTTCGTTTGAGTTTGCAAGGCAGCGACGGCAGGACGGGAGAGGAAGCGCAAACCCCTTGCCAGCTCGGGGGGAGGCAGGGACCGTTCACACCGGCACGGGGCTGGGGTTGGAACTTGTGGGCGCAATCTCTGTGTCTGTCTCCCCCCAGGCACGCCGGGACGCCCGCGTTTCCCAGCGTAAGACCCCCTGCACCGCAATGCAGCGGTGCCCACGCTAGGGGCTCCCTCTGTGGCTAATGCAGCTAGATTAACACCCGCGGGGTGTGGAGGTCTCACGCCCACCAGAGCAGACCTACGGGAGAGGGGGCAGTTGTGGAGAGAACAGTGGGTGTGTGTCTGGGGAGGGGGCAGCCCGTGCCCAGAAGGGGGCAATGGGGGACGTCCTGGAGACGGTGGGGAGGGGGGGGGCACATGTCCCAGAAGGTATGGGGCGTGTCTGGGAGGGCTAATGGGTCACATCCCAGAGAGGATGGGAGGACATATCTCAGAGAGTGTGGGGCATAGGTCTCGGGGCCAGTGCGGGGTGTCCTGGAGATGGTGGGGGTGCATGTCTGGAGGAGGGCAGTTGCGCCCATCCCAGAGAGCATGGTGGGGGGGGCGGTCAGTGGGGTGTGTCCCAGAGAGGCTGGGGTTTGCCCCGGGCAGCGGGGATTGGGGTGCAGTAATCTAGAGGGGCGGAACAGCCCCTCGGCCGCAGCCTGACCCACCTCTCTCCCCCGCAACCCGGCAGAGCAAACGGCCCCAGGAAGCCATCGACGTGTGCACGGAGGCTCACCAGCGGGACCCACGCAACATCTTCATCCTGCGTGACAGGGCCGAGGCCTACATCCTCAACGAGGAGTTCCAGCAAGGTAGGGCGCGGCCGGCCGGAGGTCTTCGCCCGGCGGCCGGCCCGAGCGAGAGCAGCCCGGTCACCGGCCCTTCCTTTGGGGAACCTTCAGGAGACTGGAGCAGGGCCAGCTCGAGAGCCGGGCGCCCTCCCCGCATTCAACCCGTGCGGTCTCGCCCCGTCCTCCCAGCCACCCGCGATGCTCTGGCCACAGCCCTCGGGGAAGGCTGGCAGGCGGTGCGGCCTAGCGGCTTGAGCACTGCCCTGGGGGTCGGGGCTCCTGGGCTCTATCCCAGGCCGGGGACAGGAGTGGCGTCGAGGGGGTTAGAACGGGGCGGGTCTGGGAGTCCGGACTCCTGGGTTCTGTCCCAGCTCTGACAGGAAGGTGGGGTAGGGCCAGTGTGTCTGGGGGCATATCCTGGAGGGGGGGGGGTGCATGTCTGGGAGCCAGGACTCCTGGGTTCTAGATCAGCTGTGAAGGGGAGCGGTGTGGTGTATAGTGCGTTCGAGTGGGAGGGGTATTTTTGTCTATATTTTTCAATGGAAAATTTAAAAAGAAAAATTGGCAGAAATCGAGATGAAAACTGGTACCTCCTGGGTGAGGTAGTTCTGGGGCTGGGGGCCCTTGTCGGACTACATAGCCCATGATGCTCTGCAGTCATCCCTTGCGGAGACAGGAGGGATCGCCTCCTGGGAACTGTAGTTCGGGTTCCTTATGAGTCTGGGGTGCCCGGTTAAAGGACATCTCCCACGGCCCACACCACAGTCTTCCAGATGGGCAGTGGGGCATGGCGGGAGCTGTACTGGGAGGTGTCCTGCTCCCCTCGTTCTCTCTGGGATGGGCCCCCGGGACAGACTCCGCCTTCCATGAGACCCCTCTGCCAGGGGCTCCCATGATGCACCGTTGCGGCTCAGCAAGAGGAGAGGCCACGGTGCATCGTGGGAGTGTACCTCATGCCCTCTGTTGGGCTGCATCTCTCACGATGCGCCATGACCGCCGCTTTTGGAGAGGCAGTGCCCAAGGGAACTCTGTCGCCGTGGTGCATCTTGGGAGCTGTAGTTCCCCGGGGGCAGCCCGGCCCACAGAGGAGAACCAGGCTCCCGAGGCGCCCGGACTACAAGCCCCAACAGCGGCGCGTGCCTGGCAGTCGGCCGCGACGGCTCTGGGCTGGTTCCTCGGCGAAGGGCGCCGTGCGGGAATTCGGGGCACGGCGTGAGGCAGCTCTGCTTGGTTCACAGCGGTGGAGGATTACCAGGAGGCCAAGGAGTTTGACGGGGAAAACGAGGAGGTGAAGGAGGGGCTGGAGAGAGCCCAGAAGCTGCTGAAGCAGTCAAAGAAACGGGACTACTACAAGATCCTGGGGATCCGGAGGTGGGTGTCATTTCCCAGGCGGGGGTTTGAACCAGCAGGATGGGATCTCCCCAGCCAGACCCCAGGGCTGCCCGGAGCCCTCAGGGGGCTTGTGGGACCCACCCCCCAACGGGAAGGCATTTGAGGACCCCCGGGCCATGAGGAAGTGGGGATCGGTACGACGGAGCCCAGAGTTTCACTTTATTTCCAGTCTGAATTTTGTCCCGCTTCAACATCCAGCCGTTGGTTCTTCGACCTTTGTCTGCTAGATCAAAGAGCCCGGTTTCTATGCCCCATGCAGGTCCTTCTAGCCTGCGATCAGGTCCCCTCCCGCTTCACCTTCTCGGTGTTAGCCTAAACAGACTGAGCGGGCTATAAAGCGTGGAGGCTTTTCAGTCCTTTCATCATTCTTGTGGCCCTCCCCTCCGGTTTGTCAACGTCCTTGTGGAACCGGGGACCCCAGAACTGGACTCTCCGGTGGCCTGGCTAGTGTAGACAGGGCCCCTGCTTGGCCCATCCGCCGGTGCCACCCCGCCCCCCATCCGCTGCCGTGTTCTTACACCACCTGCTTGGCCCCCACCCCCAGGAACGCCAACAAGCAGGAGATCATCAAGGCCTACCGGAAGCTGGCCCAGCAATGGCATCCCGACAACTTCCAGTCCGAGGACGAGAAGAAGGAGGCGGAGAAGAAGTTCATCGACATCGCAGCCGCTAAAGAGGTCCTGACAGACCCAGGTAAGGCCCGGCCGGGGGTGGACGAACAGACGGGCTGGTGCGTGGAGTGCCCGGGACTCACCCAAGAGCCCCTGGCATAGCTACCCTCCGAGGGCCACGTGGTCCCACAGTGTCTCCGAGACTGGGCCCCTGTTTCCCACCGGGGCTCTCAGCACATCAGACTCCCGAGAGGGGCTTTTCCTGCTCAGGGAGCCCCAGAGACAGCGAAGCCAGGCAGAAGCCGTCAGTCACCTGGCACAGAGCGCCGGGCGGTGGTCGGGTTAGTGGGGACAAGCCAAGAAAGAGTTCCTATAGGCGGAGACACCCTCCCCGGAGAAATCGCATTCTCCTGGGGCCCTGTGTCGGTCTCTCTGTATGTTCTTGGTCCCCCCTTAGTCCCCAGACACACCCGGGCTGCCTCTCCTTTGGGGGTTGATGTCTGGCCACAGGTGCCCACTCCGGGGCTGGAGCATCCCCTTAGTGCCCTGGGAGAAGTGATCTCTTCCCAGCCAGTGGGGAGCAATGCCTAGTGGGTAGGCGCAGGTCCTAAACGTTACCCCGAATCCCCTGCTTCACCACGCCTTTCCCTTCCAGACATGCGGCAGAAGTTTGACTCCGGAGAGGACCCCTTGGACCCCGAGAACCAGCAAGGGGGGGGAGGGCACCCCCACCAGTGGCCTTTTGAGTTTAACCCCTTCGGCTCTGGCAATTTTCACTTCAAATTCCACTTCAATTAGCTCGGGGCGGGAGGAAGAGCTCCGGACTGCGCGTCGAGGGGAGACAGGGGCTGATGGTCTCTCCTGTAGACTCCTGCACGGGCCCCGGAGTCGCCTCCCACTCATCGTGTCAAATGTGTCCTGCCACGTTTCTTTCTGGCCTGGGAACGGGGGCATTTACTTTCCCCGTGACCTGCAGAGAGGTAGAGAATGAGATGGTTTTGCCGCCTCTCTATGGTGTCTCAAGAAGGCCTGCGAGGATCTCTCTTTCTATGCTGAATTTCCCGGAGAACTAATTGGATTCTCTCCGTCTGTGCATCCCATCTTCGGCCCTGGAGCGAGACATGCACCTAGCCCCCCATGCTTTCCCTTCATCCAGCTGGGCATCAGTTTGAATTCCGATCCTCTCAATCTCTTCTCGTCTGTGGTGTGTGACGGCTAACGCCCAAGGCACGCTTAGGAGAAAAGCGGTCTGCGCTGAAGGTTCGGCGCGAGGGTTGATTGGAAATTGCCCATCAAAAGGAGAATTATTGGCCCCGGGCGTGACTGGGGTGTCTGCCACAGGGAAACTTTTTGGGAAATGCGTCGGCCTTTGGTTGGAAAAACAAACGCATGCCTCAAAAATGAAAAATTTTCAATTTGGACTCATGGGAGTTGTCATTCAGGGGGCTTCATGCCTCCTGTGGGCTTGGCCTGCCTCTCCAGTAATGCAGCAGGGGCTCCCATACTGCACGAGGCAGTGGTGCATCATGGGAGATGTAGTCCAGCCAGGGCATCTGGGCTACAGACCAGAAAGGGGGCACGAGGTGCCCGAACTACATCCCCCATGAAGATGTCAGCACGTCCGAGTCAAAAATCGGTCGGCTTTTGAATTTTCGCTAGGAAATTGAAATTGTCCTGCAGGAAAATTGAGACAAAACCACTTTTTTATTTCTTCATTTTTTTTGAGATTTTTCTTATACCCGTCTCCCTTTTTTCCAAGCCCACCCCCATCACGTCTTCGGGGGGCTGAGAGAGCACGGGACCCCCAGAGCCGACCTCCAAGGAGCCCTGTAAAGCAAGTGAAAGCCAGCCAGCCATTTCTGCTCGATGTGTGTGGTTTACAAACCAATCAGAGTCCCTTGGGGGAAAAATATGTGCTGGATTATTTATTAGTATTTTTTTAATGAACCAAAAAAAGCCTTTTTTCCCCCTAAGAAAATCTCCCTTGCACAGTGACGAGCTCTTGGTGAAAACTCACCCAAATTCCTGGAAAACCGGCTCTTTCCTGATATATTTTTCACAGAGAAACAAAATTTGTTTCCCCGTCTTGGCAAAACCCCTCCCAGGCCTTTGCGTAGCTAAAAAAAGACCTAGCCCCGCTAATGTTTCCCTTTTCCGCATCCCTTTCGGTGGGCTAAGCGGTTCTTTACTCCTGGCTGTACGAGGACTCTGTTAATTTCTGTCAGGGCTGATGAAAGGCCAAGCAGGAAATTTAATTTGGTTAACGATCATTCCCACCCTCCGTGCTGCTTGCTCCCGCCCCCCTCTGGCTGGTAACGGTGCAGTCGGTCCCGCTGACGTTTTATAACTGACCTGGATTCATTTTCTCCCCCGTTGGCTCTTTTAGAGATACGATTTTTAACATTGATTTCGTTTCAGGAGTGGGTTGTAATCATTGCACGGGCAAGGGGTGGCAGGCGCCGCCCCCGAGGTTGGGATTAAAGTTCATATTGCAAACAGGGTCCCATTTTCCCTTTCCCTCTTTGGGCTCAGGCCTGCTCGAGCTGGGATGAAAGAGGAGGAACGGAGGTTTGCTTCTTTATGGAGGCCTGAAAGGGTTAACTTTGGTAATCTTAGTAGCCTCCAGGCTCTGGTGTCTTTTTCCTGCAAGGGGGTGGGGAGGTGTGATGCTGGTTGTGACTTTCTGGCTCTGCCTGGCCCAGGGGGAAGGGTAGCTCTTTAACGCCGAGAACTTTTCTCCCACCTGTGTGTTAGGCCTTGGAGTTAGTCGTTGGCATGAAACAGGCCTGCCCCCCTCCCAAGTACGGGGTTAGAGGCCCTGACCAAGATCTGCAAACGGGGCCGGGGGGACCTCTGGCATTTAGGGCATGAGCAGAGCCCTGGGCACAAAGAACATTTGGGGTCCCACCTCCTGCTCCTCCTCTTCCCCCCCCCCCCAGACCCCCCCCCTGGCCAGGCCAGGAGCCAGGCCCTGGTAAGAGCTACCCGGGGAGCCCCGCACTCTCCACTGGCCTGGGGGGGCCAGGCATGTGAGCTGGAGCTCCCTGGGCAGCTCGTACCAGCACTGGGCCAGGGGGCAGGACCACAGTCCCCCCCCCCCCATTCTACCCAGGGGCTGGCGCTCCCGCAAATCAGCCGGGGCCCGTGCCTTACTCATCCCCGTGCCCCAGCTCCAAGCCGCAGCCCTGTCATTGCTCCCCCAGCAGTCCCGGGTTACCGTAGCCCCCCACCGTATTCACCAGCTGGGGCTCCGGCCTCCCCCCCCCAGGGAACACTGGGCCTTTGCGTTCAAACACCTTTATTTTGTACAAAACAGGCGGGAAAGTCGGGCTCTGCACGTCCGCCTCTCCCCGGCCCCCGCGAACTCCAGGCGGCCGAAGAGCGCGGTGCCGACTTTGCGGCAGACTCCAGCCGCCTCTGCGCCTCCTGGAACGGCCCAGCCCCGCGGCGCGCGACCGGGGCGGGGAAGGCCGCCCTCGCTTCCCGGTGGGACCGAGCCGCTCCCCTCCAAGCCGGTCCGCCGGCAGCGCTGGGCCCCCGCGGGTTTTCAAGCTGGTGGGGGAAATGATCAACACGCCCCCGTCCCCACCGGGAAATCGCAGCCACGTTCCGGAGCCGAGCGGTTGCCAATCGAGTTAATCGAAAACACCAGCGTCTCCCCGTTTTGTCTCCGCTTGGACTTGAACGAGAATCGGCCTTTCCAGCCAAAACCGTGGAACTTCCCCCTTTTGACATTTTCTGACCCTCTTTAAAAAAACCCTGTCCCCCCCCCAAAAAAAAAAACCCAGGGCAATGAAGCGGAACCGACCCCTTCCCCAAACAGTTTCGTTTTCCGTGCGTCGGCCTTTTCCCATGGGGAAAAAAAATCTCATTGAAAAATTCCTCTTTGCACCGGGAAGCGCGAATCTAGACTCATGCTTCAGGGCTTCACGGGGTTGCCGCTAGGGTCAGGAAGGTTCCCGCCCCAGCCCCCACTCCACCTCCCGCTGTGCCCAATGAGCCAGGAGCATCTTGGTCCTGCCCCCCCCCCCCCCAACTTTCTCTGAGGCATCTGGGATGGGCCACATCTGCAGATGAGACACTGGCCCGAAAACCCTCTTTCCAGCTGCCTGGCTGCTCCCATGCTCCGGGTCCAACCGATCACGGGCTTTGGGGTCAGGAAGGACTTCCCCCCCCCAAGTCAGATGAGCAGGGACATTGTGGGGGGGGTGAGTTTTTGGGGTTTTTTTTTTTTTTTTGTCTTCTGCTGCTCGCCCCCTCGGATCCTGGCGTGGCCGGGGTGAGCGGGCCCTGGGCTGGGCGACCGACCGGAGTCTTCTGGCCTGGCAAGTCGTCAAACGGTCCTGCCCCTCTCCGGTTCCTGGGGCTCAGCCAGGCGCCGGGGAGTCCGGTGCAGGGTGGGAGAGGGGGAGGGGGACTTGCGGCGGGTGTCCCCCCCCCCGTCCCCACCCCTAGACGTAGGCGTTCTTGCCGTATTGCCCGCCGGTGCTGGCGTCGGACCCTCTCCGCAGGCGACTGGGGCCGGCCTTGGGGAGGGCGTAGTGGAAGCTGGCGGGACACAACGGGGAGGGCTGGGGTCACACGCACGCCCAGCCGGAGTCCTGGGGGCCACCAGGCCCGGGCTGGGGGGAGCTCCCCCACCCCTCCTCTGCTGCAGGGCAAGGGCCCTGCCCCGGGATCACAGGGCCCTGCCCCGGGATCACAGGGCCCTGCCCCGGGATCACAGGGCCCTGCCCACCGTTACCTCTTGTCCTGCGAGGACGGGGTGCAGCAGGACCCCAGGAGGCAGCCGCCCCCGACGATGGCCAGCAGGGACCCGCTCCAGCCCACGTACAGCGCCGGGCCGATCTCGTACCTGCAGGGCGGAGAGACCGGGGGCGGGGGGGGTCAGGGCCGTGGGGCGGGATTCCCCCCTGCTGCCCCCCAGCCCAGCCCAGCCCAGCCCAGCCCGCTGGACTCACTTGGTGCCGGGGAAGAGGGGGTCGAAGAAGTCGCGGGTGATGTTGAAGGCGTACCAGGAGAGCGCCACCATCCCGCACAGCCCTGGGGGGGAGAGGGGAGACGTGAGCGCCTCGGGGGGCGGGCCCGCGACCCCCACCGCCCCGGTGCACAGCGCTGGGGCTGTTCCCTCCCGCCAGGGCCCAGCGGGGGCAGAGCCAAGGCACCCCACCATGGGGCTGTTCCCTCCCCCCAGGACCCCTCGGGGGCGGATCGGGGACGTGGCCAGAGCACCCCACATTGGGGCTATTCCCTGCCCCCCAGGGCCTATCGGGGGCATAGCCGGAGCACCCCACCCTGGGGCTGTTCCCTCCCCCTAGGGCCCATCGGGGGCAAAGCGGGGACCTGACCAGAGCTCCCCACATTGGGGCTATTCCCTGCCCCCCAGGGCCCATAGGGGACGGATCGGGGACCTGACCAGAGCTCCCCACATTGGGGCTATTCCCTGCCCCCCAGGGCCCATAGGGGGCAGAGCGGGGGCATGGCCAAGGCACCCCACCCTGGGGCTGTTCCAGGGCCCGTGGGGGCAGACCGGGGGCATGGCCAAGGCACCCCGCGCTGGGGCTGTTCCCTGCCCCCCAGGGGGCGGATCGGGGTCACTGCAAGGCGCTCACCCCCCAGGATGAACATGCAGCCCCCAGCGGCCGCCATCTTCCCCTTGACTTCGGGGTTCCCGTTCGCCACCTTGGTGCACTTCATCCCCACCACGCTGCAGACGATGGCCAGGAAGCCGAAGAGCAGGGCTGTGATCATCAGGGCTCGGCAGGCCTGCAGGTAGCCTGGGGAGGGGTACAAGGATGGGGGGGGGGGCTGAATAGCTGAGAAGTTGTGCATTGCCCCCCCCCCTCCGCCCTGGGTCTAGGAGAGGGGAGACCCACGGGGCTTCGGGCCAACCCGAACTCTTTGCAACTGAGCAGCGGAAAGCGCCGCGGAAGAGCGAGACCTCCGCGTGCCTCAGTTTCCCCATCTACAATGGGACTCGGGGGATTCGCCCCCTATACCTGACAGGGTCAATACCACCAGGACGGGGGCGGCGGGCCGCTCAGGTACGGCCGTGACCGGCTAGACGTGTATCTACGCCAGACCGGGGTAAAAAAACCCGCATGCCACCCAGATCCCTGTGCACCGTCCTCCACCCGGCGCGGGAAGGGGGGTTCACACGGTCCAGACGCCGGTTCGGTTGCTTCATGTGAGCGCGACCCGCCTCGCCGGTGGCTCTCGGCGGGCATCGGGGGCCCCCGCTGGCCCGGGCGCCGCCCAGGTCCCCCGAGAGCCGGGCCCTCTTGGCCTGGATCCTGTCTAGACCTGAACCCAGAACCGGGCCGCAAATGGGATGTGGACTCTGGGCCACGCGGCGCCGGTGCAGGGACCCGACCGGGGACGGTTCAGTCCATGAGCCGGGGCCGTCGGAGCGGCCCACGGGGCGGGGAAGCGGAGGCCGGTTGGGACGGGCCCCTGTGGGGGGAGCTGCGCTCTCCCCCCACTCAGGGGGCAAATCCACTGAACTTCACAACGTGACCCGCCCCCCCCCCACAACCCACGGGCCCCCAATTCTGGGTTCTCTCCCCGGCTCCGGGAGGGGAGTGGGGGCTGGTGGGTCAGAGCAGGAGGGGCTGGGAGCCAGGACTCCTGGGTTCTCTCCCCGGCTCCGGGAGGGGAGTGGGGGCTGGTGGGTCAGAGCAGGGGGGGCTGGGAGCCAGGACTCCTGGGTTCTCTCCCCGGCTCCGGGAGGGGAGTGGGAGCTGGTGGGTCAGAGCAGGAGGGGCTGGGAGCCAGGACTCCTGGGTTCTCTCCCCGGCTCCGGGAGGGGAGTGGGAGCTGGTGAGTCAGAGCAGGAGGGGCTGGGAGACAGGACTCCTGGGTTCTCTCCCCGGCTCCGGGAGGGGAGTGGGAGCTGGTGGGTCAGAGCAGGAGGGGCTGGGAGCCAGGACTCCTGGGTTCTCTCCCCGGCTCCGGGAGGGGAGTGGGAGCTGGTGGGTCAGAGCAGGGGGGGCTGGGAGCCAGGACTCCTGGGTTCTCTCCCCGGCTCCGGGAGGAGAGTGGGGGCTGGTGGGTCAGAGCAGGGGGGGCTCGGAGCCAGGACTCCTGGGTTCTCTCCCCGGCTCCGGGAGGGGAGTGGGAGCTGGTGGGTCAGAGCAGGAGGGGCTGGGAGCCAGGACTCCTGGGTTCTCTCCCCAGCTCCGGAAGGGGAGTGGGGGCAGGTGGGTCAGAGCAGGGGGGGCTAGGAGCCAGGATTCCTGGGTTCTCTCCCCGGCTCCGGGAGGGGAGTGGGAGCTGGTGGGTCAGAGCAGGGGGGGCTGGGAGCCAGGACTCCTGGGTTCTCTCTCCGGCTCCGGGAGGGGAGTGGGGGCTGGTGGGTCAGAGCAGGAGGGGCTGGGAGCCAGGACTCCTGGGTTCTCTCCCCAGCTCCGGGAGGGGAGTGGGGGCAGGTGGGTCAGAGCAGGGGGGGGCTGGGAGCCAGGACTCCTGGGTTCTCTCCCCAGCTCCGGGAGGGGAGTGGGGGCAGGTGGGTCAGAGCAGGGGGGCTGGGAGCCAGGACTCCTGGGTTCTCTCCCCTGCTCCGGGAGGGGAGTGGGGGCAGGTGGGTCAGAGCAGGGGGGGCTAGGAGCCAGGACACCTGGGTTCTCTCCCCGGCTCTGGGAGGGGAGTGGGGGCTGGTGGGTCAGAGCAGGGGGGGCTGGGAGCCAGGACTCCTGGGTTCTCTCCCCGGCTCTGGGAGGGGAGTGGGGGCTGGTGGGTTAGATCAGGGGGGCTGGGAGCCAGGATTCCTGGGTTCTCTCCCCGGCTCCGGGAGGGGAGTGGGAGCTGGTGGGTCAGAGCAGGGGGGGCTGGGAGCCAGGACTCCTGGGTTCTCTCCCCGGCTCCGGGAGGGGAGTGGGGGCTGGTGGGTCAGAGCAGGAGGGGCTGGGAGCCAGGACTCCTGGGTTCTCTCCCCAGCTCCGGGAGGGGATTGGGGGCAGGTGGGTCAGAGCAGGGGGGGGGCTGGGAGCCAGGACTCCTGGGTTCTCTCCCCAGCTCTGGGAGGGGAGTGGGGGCAGGTGGGTCAGAGCAGGGGGGGGCTGGGAGCCAGGACTCCTGGGTTCTCTCCCCGGCTCCGGGAGGGGAGTGGGGGCTGGTGGGTCAGAGCAGGGGGGGCTGGGAGCCAGGACTCCTGGGTTCTCTCCCCGGCTCCGGGAGGGGAGTGGGGGCTGGTGGGTCAGAGCAGGAGGGGCTGGGAGCCAGGACTCCTGGGTTCTCTCCCCAGCTCCGGGAGGGGAGTGGGGGCAGGTGGGTCAGAGCAGGGGGGGCTAGGAGCCAGGACACCTGGGTTCTCTCCCCGGCTCTGGGAGGGGAGTGGGGGCTGGTGGGTCAGAGCAGGGGGGGGCTGGGAGCCAGGACTCCTGGGTTCTCTCCCCGGCTCTGGGAGGGGAGTGGGGGCTGGTGGGTTAGATCAGGGGGGCTGGGAGCCAGGACTCCTGGGTTCTCTCCCCGGCTCCGGGAGGGGTGTGGGAGCTGGTGGGTCAGAGCAGGGGGGGGCTGGGAGCCAGGACTCCTGGGTTCTCTCCCCGGCTCCGGGAGGGGAGTGGGGGCTGGTGGGTCAGAGCAGGAGGGGCTGGGAGCCAGGACTCCTGGGTTCTCTCCCCAGCTCCGGGAGGGGAGTGGGGGCAGGTGGGTCAGAGCAGGGGGGGGCTGGGAGCCAGGACTCCTGGGTTCTCTCCCCAGCTCTGGGAGGGGAGTGGGGGCAGGTGGGTCAGAGCAGGGGGGGCTAGGAGCCAGGACACCTGGGTTCTCTCCCCGGCTCTGGGAGGGGAGTGGGGGCTGGTGGGTCAGAGCAGGAGGGGCTGGGAGCCAGGACTCCTGGGTTCTCTCCCCTGCTCCGGGAGGGGAGTGGGAGCTGGTGGGTCAGAGCAGGAGGGGCTGGGAGCCAGGACTCCTGGGTTCTCTCCCCGGCTCCGGGAGGGGAGTGGGAGCTGGTGGGTCAGAGCAGGAGGGGCTGGGAGCCAGGACTCCTGGGTTCTCTCCCCGGCTCTGGGAGGGGAGTGGGGGCTGGTGGGTCAGAGCAGGAGGGGCTGGGAGCCAGGACTCCTGGGTTCTCTCCCCAGCTCCGGGAGGGGAGTGGGGGCAGGTGGGTCAGAGCAGGGGGGGCTAGGAGCCAGGACACCTGGGTTCTCTCCCCGGCTCTGGGAGGGGAGTGGGGGCTGGTGGGTCAGAGTAGGGGGGGCTGAACGCCAGGACTCCTGGGGTCTCTCCCCGGCTCTGGGAGGGGAGTGGGGGCTGGTGGGTTAGATCAGGGGGGCTGGGAGCCAGGATTCCTGGGTTCTCCCCCATCTGTGGGGTCGGGGGGACCCTGTTTGGACGCAAAATGTAACTCTTACCACCCTGAGCACATCTGCCAACCCCCCGCCCAGGGTCCAGACGCAGGGGCAGGGGATGCCCAGCGGGCACCAAGCCCCAAAGCGTCGGGAGCTTCCACCCCCCTTGGGACACCTGCCAGGGCCCGGGGCCTGGGGCCAGGCTCCCGGCGTTCGCCCTGGCGCCGGGGCTGAGCCGTGCGAGGCTGGGCAAACAGGGGCTGCGCGCCTGGCAGGGGAGTGGGCACCGGCCCAGGGCACCTCACCAGCCCGGCTGGCGACCCCTACCCAGCCGCTCAGGGGGGCTTTCCTTCCGTTCAGCTCTTAAGTGTCCAGCCCCACTGCACGGAGGGGGAAACTCAGGCAGGGGGAGCCTATGGCAGGAGTACAGATAGAACCCAGGAGTCCTGGTTCTCAACCCCCCCCCCCCCCCCGCTCTAACCACCAGCCCCTACTCCCCGCCTGGAGCCAGGGAGAGAACCCAGGAGTCCTGGCTCCCAAGCAACCTCCACCCCAATCCTCTAGGCGCGTTTCCACCTTGGGCTGAGATACTCCCGGGGAGGGGGCGGGGGGCAGAGACTCAGCCCCTCTCCCCGATTTACTATCTGCTTGGGCAGCTGTCACGAGGAGCCCGGGGCCCACAGGGGGTGGGGGAGGTCCCGGCTCTTCAGGGGGGGGGCTCCGGGCCCAGGGCGCACGGGGAGGGGAGGGGGGTCCCGGCTCTGCGGGGGGGAGGTCCGGTCCCTGGGCACATGGGGAGGGGAGGGGGGTCCCTACTCTGCAGGGGGGGAGCTCCGGGCCCGGGGCGCACGGGGAGGGGAGGGGAGGGGAGTCCCGACTCTGCAGGGGGGAGCTCCGGGCCCGGGGCGCACGGGGAGGGGAGGGGAGGGGAGTCCCGACTCTGCAGGGGGGGAGCTCCGGGCCCGGGGCGCACGGGGAGGGGAGGGGAGGGGAGTCCCGACTCTGCAGGGGGGGAGCTCCGGGCCCGGGGCGCACGGGGAGGGGAGGGGAGTCCCGACTCTGCAGGGGGGGAGCTCCGGGCCCGGGGCGCACGGGGAGGGGAGGGGGGTCCCGACTCTGCAGGGGCGGAGCTCCGGGCCCGGGGCGCACGGGGAGGGGAGGGGAGGGGAGGGGGTCCCGGCTCTGCAGGGGGGCTCCGGTCCCGGGGCGCACGGGGAGGGGGAGGGGGGGTCCCGGATCTGCGGGGGGGGGCTCCGGTCCCGGGGCGCACGGAGAGGGGAGGGGGGTCCCGACTCTGCAGGGGGGAGCTCCGGGCCCGGGGCGCACGGGGAGGGGGAGGGGGTCCCGACTCTGCAGGGGGGGAGCTCCGGGCCCGGGGCGCACGGGGAGGGGGAGGGGAGGGGGTCCCGGCTCTGCAGGGGGCTCCGGTCCCGGGGCGCACGGGGAGGGGGGGGGGTCCCGACTCTGCAGGGGGGAGCTCCGGGCCCGGGGCGCACGGGGAGGGGAGGGGGTCCCGACTCTGCAGGGGGGGAGCTCCGGGCCCGGGGCGCACGGGGAGGGGAGGGGGAGGGGGTCCCGGCTCTGCAGGGGGGCTCCGGTCCCGGGGCGCACGGGGAGGGGAGGGGGGTCCCGGCTCTGCGGGGGGGGCTCCGGGCCCGGGGCGCACGGGGAGGGGAGGGGGTCCCGGCTCTGCGGGGGGGGCTCCGGGCCCGGGGCGCACGGGGAGGGGGAGGGGGTCCCGGCTCTGCGGGGGTGGGGGCGCTCCGGGGCGCAGAGGGCGGGGCGGGGGGTCCCGGTTACCGGTCACCCCCAGCATGGAGGGGAAGCCCCAGCAGTTGTAGACGCCGGTGGAGTCCGTGGCGCAGCTCTGCCAGAGGTTCTCGAAGAGGGTGGAGGTGGTGATCACGTTGCCCTCCACCGTGGACACCCGCCAGTAGCTGTTGGGCAGCGTCACCCCCAGCAGCGCCCAGCCAAAGGAGCCGAGGAAGAAGCCCCCCGCCTCCACCGCCGCGGCCATGGCGCGCCCAGGGCGCACGGGGAGCGGAGCGCACGGGCAGGGGCGCACGGGGACTGGGGCGCACGGGCGAGCGGCGGATGGCTCAGCCCGGAGCCGCCAGCCGGGTAAAACCAGAGGCGGCCTCTTGACGTCAGGGCGGGATAACGGGGCCGAGCAGCGGCTAACGGGGCGGGGTAGGTGCGTGAGTTGGGCATGGGGGGTAGGGGGCGGGTTTGCGCACCGTCTGCGTGGATCTCTGGCTCTCGCCGGGTGTGGGCGACCCCCCTCCCCCAGCTATGAACGTGAGCCAGGGAGAGAACCCAGGAGTCCTGGCTCCCAAGCAACCTCCACCCCAATCCTCTAGGCCCCACTCTGCAGCCTTACTTAAGAGCGTTTCCAGTTTGGGCCGAGATACTCCCGGGGCGGGGGGCAGAGTCTCAGCCCCTCTCCCCGATTTACTATCTGCTTGGGCAGCTGTCAGGAGGCGCCCGGGGCCCACAGGGGGTGGTCCCGGCTTTGCAGGGGGGCTCCGGGCCCATGGCGCACGGAGAGGGGAGGGGGGTCCCGGCTTTGCAGGGGGGCTCCGGGCCCATGGCGCACGGAGAGGGGAGGGGGGTCCCGGCTTTGCAGGGGGGCTCCGGGCCCATGGCGCACGGAGAGGGGGAGGGGGTCCCGGCTCTGCGGGGGTGGGGGCGCTCCGGGGCGCAGAGGGCGGGGCGGGGGGGTCCCGGTTACCGGTCAGCCCCAGCATGGAGGGGAAGTCCCTGCAGTTGTAGACGCCGGTGGAGTCCGTGGCGCAGCTCTGCCAGAGGTTCTCGAAGAGGGTGGAGGTGGTGATCACGTTGCCCTCCACCGTGGACACCCGCCAGTAGCTGTTGGGCAGCGTCACCCCCAGCAGCGCCCAGCCAAAGGAGCCCAGGAAGAAGCCCCCGGCCTCCACCGCCGCGGCCATGGCGCGCCCAGGGCGCACGGGGAGCGGAGCGCACGGGCAGGGGCGCACGGGGACTGGGGCGAGCGGCGGATGGCTCAGCCCCGAGCGGCCAGCCAGGTAAAACCAGAGGCGGCCTCTTGACGTCAGGGCGGGATAACGGGGCCGAGCAGCGGCTAACGGGGCGGGGTAGGTGTGAGAGTTGGGCGTGGGGGGCGGGTTTGCGCACCGTCTGCGTGGATCTCTGGCTGGCTGTGTGTGGGCGTCTCCCCTCCCCCCAGCTATGAACGTGACTCAGCCTCTCCTAGAGCTGGAACCCAGGAGTCCTGGCTCCCAGCCCGCCCCCCTGCTCTAACCCCCCAGCCCCCACTCCCCTCCCAGAGTCAGGGAGAGAACCCAGGAGTCCTGGCTCCCAGCCCCCTCTGCTCTGACCCTCTAGATTCGACTCCATTCCCCTCCCAAAGCTGGGGAGAGAACCCAGGAGTCCTGGCTCCCAGCTTGCCTGACCTAGGTGATCAGATGCCACAGCATGATCCCCGCTTCCCGCCCCCCCGGAGCCTGATCCCACAGCATCCCATCCATCCCTCTCGCAGGTCAAGTTGATCTTTACCCAGGCTGTAATGGGCTTGAGTCTGGCCCCTTTGACTCCAGCCCACTGAGCTCCATCGGTCACAGCTCATTCCCAAACTACCCCTTCCAGGAGCTGCGGCCTCTCGCCAGCCTCCAGCATGGCCCCCGTGCAAGGAAACCCCTTTCTCTTTGCGCCAGGCTCCTAGGAACCTGCCCCCGAGGGCAGCCCCTTCTGGGGTGGAGTGCAAAATCTGTGGCCGAGGGCGGAAGGAGCGGGACAGGCTTGCTCCTGCAGGGAGAGCCGGGAGGCACACTCCCTTGCGATAGCCAAGGACACGATAAGCTTCTCTCGGGCTGCGTTCCAAACTGGCATAGACCCCGAGCGCATGCTCCCCTTTCTGTTGATGCCCGCCACTCAGGGAATACCCACCTTTCCTCTTGGGAGGCCGCCAGCACCGGACGAGGAGCGGTGGGCTGGGCAGCGGCCTCCCCCGGATGCATAGTTGGAAAGGGGCTGGTGCATTGCACAATCCCCGAGGCATACGCTTGGCTTGGCAAGGGCAACAGGATGCTAGGTTCTGGGCCGTGACAAAGGGCAATTTCTCAGAGCCAGTGCCAACCACCGGCAGCTGAGTCTGCCCGGGTTCAGCCAGAGAATAAGAGGCAGTTGATCCCGACGGGGAGGCGGTTAGCCATCAGAGGGTGTCACGCATTTGTGTGCAACCTATTGGAAAAACAAGAAAATCCCCCACTTCGTCATGGCGGGATTTATTTCTCCAACCCTCCCGAATCAAGCCCCTGTCCAATCCATATTTCTCCTGAAACCTGGCACTGCTCAGAGGCAAGACGCCTTTATGCCGGCCTGGGCCCAGAGAGTTTTCCCAGCCTTCCTCCTCTGAACTGGACAAACGCCAGAGGAGACGCCAATGCCTGCCTCGGTTGCCCTGGGTCTCTCCTGCCTGGCGGGGGTTACCCGAACGTAGCAGTGCCCAGCTAACCAGGGGGCAGAGCAGGCTGCTGCTGCCTTTCCCACCCACTTGATTGCCCATTGAGGTGGGGGCAGGGATAGCTCAGTGGTTTGGGCATTGGCCTGCTAAACCCAGGGTTGTGAGTTCAATCCTTGAGGGGGGCCATTTGGGGCCTGGCACTGCAGGGGGTTGGGCTAGACGACCTCCTGAGGCCCCTTCCAGCCCTGATCTTCTACGATTCTTTCTGTGGGGCTAACCGGAGCTGGAGTTTCCCAGCCTGGCAAACACAGCTGTTGGTCTCTCTGCTTTCGTTTGTGCAGTTCGGGTGTGGCCTGTCCTGGGTAAAGTCGGGATAGGCCTGTTATCCCCAAATGCTTATCTCCAGTCCCATCCTGCCAGCCAGTCCCATGGCGGGGGTTCAGTCCCATCCTGCCAGCCAGTTCCCATGGGGGGGGTTCATGGAGGAATTTTTATTTTATTGTTTTTGGCACCAAATTGTCCATTTTTCAAAAAAAAAAAATCTTTTAACCAGAAATGGCTAAAACTCCGAGAGGCGCCCGGGGGGGGGGGGGGGATTTTCCCAGAGGGGCTGGAGCCGGTTCTGTGTTGTATTGTTGAAAGGGAACCCCGAGATATTGAACCCGGCCCTGGATGCTGCCAGCTTCCCCGGGCAGAAGAGTTGTCCTGGGGGGGGAGGAGGGGGAGTTGCATTTTCTGCCAACAAAAATTTTTAAGTTTTTGTCAAAAAACAAACAAACCCATGAAGGATTTTTGGCTGGAAATTTTTATTTTTCTGTTGCCAAAAAGAATCAAAAATGGGTTTTTGGTTTTTTTTGGTGGGGGGAGGGTTGATTTAATCCCTCCCAAATCTCCAAGGAAATATTGCAATGAAAAATGAAACATTTTCCATCGTGTATCTATGTTGTGTATTCACCAGAACAAGAATTGCAAAAGCAAAAAAGTTTGGGGGAAAATGAACAAAATGTGTTTGTTTTCGTTTCTTCGTTCGTTCGTTCTTTCGTTCTTTTCTTCTTTCGTTCGTTCTTTCATTTGTTCTTTCGTTTGTTCTTTCTTTCTTTCGTTCGTTCGTTTTTTCTTTCATTCTTTCTTTTGTTCTTTCATTCGTTTGTTATTTCCTTCTTTCTTTCATTCTTTCTTTCGTTCATTCTTTCTTTCTCTTGTTCGTTCATTCTTTCTTTCGTTCTTTCTCTTGTTCGTTCATTCTTTCGTTCTTTCATTCATTCTTTCTTTCGTTCGTTCTATCGTTCGTTGGTTTGTTCTTTTGTTCTTTCTTTCATTCTTTCGTTGGTTCGTTCGTTCTTTCTTTCTTTCGTTCGTTCGTTCTTTCTTTGTCATTTTGAAATGGTTTTCAAATTTCCATTTTAGCAAAACTCTGAGAATCTGGCAGAAAAAACAACACTTTTGCAATTTTGTCATTTTTCCCCCTTGAAAAGTGTTAAATTTTCAAAAAAAATTAAGTTTACAAGGGGAAATTTGGGCATGTTTCCCAAGTGATAAAAAAAAAAGACACAACATTCCCAAATGGGATTTTCGAAGAGAACCACCAGGCTGGAAATGGAACAAAGATTTTCATTTCCACGTGGAATTTGTTTTTACAAGAATCGGGGGAAATGTGAAAAACAAAGAAACCCTATGCCATGAAACTGGATAAAGTCCTAGGTTTTTACGCCTAGATGGGACAAGCTCATCTCTCGTCTGTCCTCCTGTATGGCAGAGGACATTAAATGTCACCAAGTGACCTCTGTTTGCAGACCCGTAACTCGTGTTTCGCTGACGGTCTGTTCACAGTGGGGGCCCTGATCTCGGCCAGGGTCTGCACAGCGCCTGGCACGAGGCCCAGGCCGATCTCGGGGTCCCCCCGTTGTGTGGGAGCTGCACAGATCCCGACCGAGCTCAGGGCTCTTGCCGTGCCCGGACTTGCTTGGCGGGGACATCGCCAGTGATCTTTGGTCCCGGAGGGAAGCGATTTCTTTCTGCTCTTTCACATGGGCTCTGGAGACAGCAGCGGTGTGATCTGGGGGGGCGGAGAGGGCCGTACCAACCTCCCCTCCCTGCCAAGCTCCAGGGGGGAGTGGGGGGGGCAGACAGTGCTGGCAAAGCTCAGCCAGTTAATTATTTACCCCTCCCCAGTGGCTTTGATCAAGGCCAAACCTGAGACCTTGGCCACCATCCGTCCTGGGGGTGGGAACGACGGGGATAAGGACGATAAATGAGCCAGTTGCTTGGCAACGGGGTGCTGGAGATAGGGGGTGACTCATTCGTGCCCCTTGCTCCAAGCTGGCCCCGTCCCCTGCCTGGTGAAAGGTCCAGCCGCTGGGGTGTGGAGAACCCAGCCAGGCAAACCCCGGCCTTCAGCCCTTGTTGAGGCAGCGGTCTAGGGGGTGAAGATGTGCGTAAGGGGCTAGGCTACGAGCTCTGGGAGGGCAGCCCGGGGGGCCGGGAGCCAGGACTCCTGGGTTCTCTCCCTGGTCATTGGCACAGGGCGTCCTTTGGTCCACCATCGTTGAACATGCCCCATGCAGCTGCCTGGCTGCTGTGTCGTGGTTCAGCCATGGGGCTGTGGGGCGCTTCCCTCTCCTCCCTCCGTGGATGGGGGGGGGGGGGGCGCCTGGGGATAGATAGATAGATAGGGGGGGTGGATGGGGATAGAGAGAGAGTGAGAGTGGATGGGGATAGATAGATAGATTAGATAGAGGGGGTGTCTGGGGATGGATGGATAGATAGGTAGACGGGGTGGATGGGGATAGATAGATAGATTAGATAGATAGAGAGGGTGTGTAGGGATAGATAGATAGATTAGATTAGATTAGATAGATAGAGGGGGTGGATGAGAGAGAGTGAGAAAGAGTGGATGGGGATAGATAGATAGATCAGATAGAGGGGGTGTCTGGGGATGGATGGATAGATAGATAGACGGGGTGGATGGGGATAGATAGATAGATTAGATAGATAGAGAGGGTGTGTAGGGATAGATAGATAGATTAGATTAGATAGATAGAGGGGGTGGATGAGAGAGAGTGAGAAAGAGTGGATGGGGATAGATAGATAGATCAGATAGAGGG